TAAAGACTTTGAAGACGAGTATTCATGGCTCTTTCTAGACTCATATACCTTTGAAGTTCAAATGTTTGCTTTCTTCGCGTTTATTGGGACAAAGAAGGCATTCAGACGCGTAATCAAAACGTTTTCGTCTCTAGTGGTGGACAACCCGGACTTCCAACACCGATATCTAACGGCACCAAATGTTATTTCATAAAGGTAAAGTGTAAGGAACGATCGACTAATTCAAGTAATTAAATTCACCTTCTGGATTGTAACCATTCAATGTGATTAAAGACTGACTAATATTTTTAACAACGAAATTAGCATAGCCAGTTCACTCATTAGAGCATAAATTTCTACCGGACAGGAAATGTTTCTTAACGCTGCCGGCGGTTTCCATTGTCAGACTTGCGCACCTCGCGATGTACATAAACGTGCCTCAAGGAACTAAGAATTCAATCCAGTAAAAACGCTAAAATTGAATATATTAGTAATTTTTTCTATTCAATTTTGAGTTCTTATTTCCCTTTTCTGCATATTTTTAATTGTTAAGTACCTTTTTAGGCTGTTAAAACATTTGATTTAGTGGTTTAACATCCGTTTTTTAATCACAAACACTTATTTTAAAAGATCATAATCGGTTATTTCGAAAAAGGCAACATATCCATGTACTGTTTGCCACGAGCCCGTTGCTAAAAAACGCTACATCTCAGTAGTTGTTTATTCAAAGTAAAGAGAGAACCGAATATATTAACGAAGGACGGCTATGTGACACTTTCACAAGTTCGGAAGCCAAAAGCTTGTATTGAATAAAATGACGTTTTTAAGGAAGAGTTGACAGAAAAATTTGCTAAAAGATGACGATGTTATGTAGAACTAATGGTAGTATGAGGGGAAAAAAACAATTCATCAGAGCCTCCTTAATATACGTATCTGACTCACTCATTGTTATTCAGAAGCTTATGTTATACGTAAATATAGTACGTGTTTATTGATGAAATAAATTGAGCTCGACCGATATTTGTGACATAGATCGAACATGAAGTGGAAAAAGATGGTTGCCGAGCATAAATGCGATCTCCCGCCAGACGATGATCCTATTGAGGAGTTTTTTACTGGACAGAATATATGGTCCAGGATGTGCATTTCTTTCCAACGTTACTGCACAATTTCAATGACTAATCCTCGAGCGCGCCGCATTTTCAAGAGCTCTGCATCAATCGAATTTGAACGTATTCGCCATTTGAAAACACATAAGTGTATTATTCACCCGTACAGTAACTTCCGCCAAAATTGGGAAAACATAATGATTTTTGTGTACATGTTTGCTATGTTTCTGATTCCTTTTTATAATGCCTTCATTAGCATTCAACCTGCGAGAAGATCTTATTACATATGGACGGCTTGCGATGTGTCTCAGTGTATTATATGCTTAGTGGACATATTTATAAATTGTTCTACTGGATATGTCCTAAATGCGTCTAATCAGGGAGTGGTTCTGATTCCCTGGAAAATATTGATGAAGTACTTGAGAACATACTTTTTCATAGACCTCATATCTTCGTTTCCACTGGACCATCTGGCATGCGCAATGCAAATCAAGTGCTCTCCTTGCGATATAAGCGTTTCTCTCCGTTACGTGAAAGTGTTTCGCTTGATGACCTTAGAAAGCTATCTCATGCGTGGCTGTGAACTAGTAGGAATATCAGAAACAAGTGCCGAAGTAAGCAACGTGATGTGTCACTTATCAAGATTAAAATAAAAAATTGCGATGTTTCTACCTACCCAGAGATTACAATTAGTCCATTAATTGTTTCAGCTCATTTGGCACGTAGTGAAAATATTTTTGTTCCTTCATGTAGCTACATGTTTGCATATGACAATTGCTTTTGCCCATCTGACAACTGAGGACACGTGGATTGAGGACATCATGCACACAGACATTGCGATCTCTCATTTGTACATCATGGCAATGGTTCGTGCTTCGTGTAACATGTTGTGCCTTGGATATGGCTTCTCAAATCCTAAGAATCTTGTGGATGAGGTGAGTCACTTCCATAAAACGAAATTAATTTTACGATTAATATTATTAGGAATAAAAGATAAGGACGTATCTCGTGTAAGAAGATTCCAATTCAGAAATATAAGTAAAGGAATGCCTCCGTGTTCCTTTTAATTATCTGGAGAAGAATTTTAGCTAATTCCGGCTGCTCTGGTATTTTTTCGTTATTTCTCCGCTCAACGCCTCGGGAACAACCGAGAAATACCATAACAAACAGGCCACGGCCCGCGAACGATACATCCTTTCTCTGCTTTGTCCTATCCGCGCCTATTATTTGCAGATAGTAATACTCACGTGCACTACTCTATCACTCAAGTCGGAAAACCAGACGGGAGCTTACAGCTTGCCTCGACCGGGGTGGTGTCACACTGTTGTGAGTTACCTGGTTGAGGGAAATCCCGCAATATATTGGCGTCTGATCTCGCAAATAACTGAGGGAAGATCGTCTCCCGCGAATAAAAAAATGTACAACACATACGGGACTAACTACTTTAGCAGTTGACGCAACCTGAATCACTTATCAATCGAATAAACCTCTTAATACCACATTTATAGTCTACGTGTCTCATTAAAATTATGTTTTACTTTAATTGTTAACGACTGCACAATTCACTTATTCACATGCAAATTATGTATAGAATAGTAGAAGTTCCCAATACAAAATGTCGATTATAACCATAGGTCTAATTATGCATGAATAGTGCGCAAATATTTTAGACGTTTTTAGTGCCAACTGATTTATTTTATTTTACATATAATAATAGATGCAATTGAAGTAATGAATAAGGGTTATTTGTCTCGTGGTTTACATTCTTTCCAATTCGGTAAATCTCAAATACTGAAACGTGCATTAAGGCGTTCTCCAGGTACGTATTAATCTCTTCAGGTAAACAGGGAGTTCGTAAATATTAATAAATTCAATTATTTTATATTTTTATTTTCCTTTCAAACATTATTCTTTCAAGATTTAAATATAGAAACTGAAAAATATCGTTTATAAATAATTTTATTAAGTACTCTGTGTTCTCCGATTTATTCACTTTTGCTTTAGAATTAAATTTGTTTCATTAAAATAAATAACGACCCAAGTGAAAAAAGAGACAAATTAATATAATGTTAGAAATATTAATGTCTATAACGCATAAAATAAGTTAACTCTTTTTGCCCTAACAAGTAGTAGTATACGCCACTGCTGAATGGCAGCTGAGTTATGTGCTAGGAGCTGTTTAATGAAAAGTGACATAAGTGCCATTCTAAGCTTGAAACGCATGGTGGTGGCATTTTGCTGAGTGTTGCTGGCCTTCCATGACACTCATACGAGTCGTGTGTATAGAGGTAAACAAAATTAATGAAAAGAGCGAATCTGCCCTGAGGAAGAAGCGTTAACATGGAGATGGCGGTGCGCAAGCGGAGAGAAAGATGAGAAGATGTAAGGATCTGCCCAAGAGCGGAAAGCACGTTCCAAGGCGAGCTCCACCAAACCAGCAGGTTAAATAAATATTTAAAATTTATTGAAAGAGAATATTGAACATGTGAAGTGATAATGGAATTGCACAAAATAAAAACAAAATGTTTTTTGTGATTGTGGCTCTATCTTGTGACTAATAGTACATTCAATGAAATTAATCAAAATATGTGGTAAAAGAACATTCATACACGAGTTGTCATAGGGACTTTGGGAAAAAGAAAAATGAGAGAGATATGCAAAGAACGCGTCGACTTGGTTAAAATGGTTGTAATTACTACATCAAAACCTTTCCAGTCACCTTCTTATGAGACTGATTTCAGGAATTTCAATGCTGCAGCAGATTTAATTCTAAATATTAGTAATAGACAAATTTCACAAACACAGGGGTTTAGAATTACAAAAAAATCATCCTAGAGTTGCTAGAGTCCAGTAAGATCTAAGTAGTGTAGGAGTTTGGAATGACATTTGGATGAAGAAAAAAAATGTTCTTCCTCCACAAAATTTGAAGACAAAATTTCCCCAACTGAAATGCAACAGTAAAGCTTCCAAAGAAAAAGAAAAGTACTTGAATTACATGTCACATTTCCTAGAGGCTGAAAACTGGCTATTTTATGAAACATTATTTCAGAAGGAGTAATCGTTAACAATCTGAATAATTATGAGGATTGAAATTATTGTAATTTATTATTTTTGGTTTAATATATTTGAAGTGTATTTAGTTTTGTTCCTAGAGTTAGACAACATTAGCTTAAAAGCTTCGTTACTTATGTCGTTTCACTTTTTCCTTTTTTCCATTAAATTATCTGGACATAAAAGTATAACTTAGAAAATAACTTATAACTTAAATATAGTTTGTTAATGAAATTACACCTTTATTTTCCGTGTATTCATAATATGCAATAAATAAACGTTTTGACATCCTGAAAAATGTTCATTTTGACACTTAGCCCTTTATTTATTTCAACGGTATATTTTTCTTGAAAACTGTTACGTAATTATTTGTAAAGGAATCTAATTTGCATTTGAAACACATTTTTTAATGTACTCTGTAATGAATCAATTTTCTAAATAGTGACGTTGACAAACTATGGTAACGTTCTTAAATTCTAATTTATTATATTACAACACGAGTAGTAATAGTTAAGTTAGAAATAGTGGTTGTGCAATAGCACTATTCCAGTGTTCATAAAGTTTCACTAATAGTTTAAAACTGAATGATCAAAAGCCAAACATATATTTTGAGGCACTTCTAATATTGCCAAATTTCATCCATTTTCACTTCTCTTAGAAACATTAAAATACCTCTCAAACTTACGTATTTAATAATATATGTGTAAAATATCCAATTAGTACATTTTGGATGTTTAAATAACAAACAACGAATTTAAAATTATTCTACGGATTATTAACCTTATCAGATAATGTTATTAAATTGGTGTGAATATAATTTTGAAGTATATGATCCTTATGAACGTAATTCTGTTTTTACAGATTTACATAACGTTTTTGAGCCTCTTTGGAGCGGGTCTTCTCATCGTTACAATCACCCTACTATTAAAGAAAGTTAATATATACAACGTAGGAAACTCTAGGTATGAAGAAATAATGCAAGAAATTAGTACTTATGTACGATCAAAGCAAATTCCGGCGGAACTGCATCGGAGAATTGTTCAATACTATGAATTTCGATTTGAAATGTGTTACTTTGATGTAAGTATTTTACAGAAAAATTTCATAAATTATTGTTTCATACTGACACATACTAATGATTTTTGTTACAAATTGTAGTGTTGAAAGTCTCGGTCTATTTTTTTACGAACATGTGGTGATATTATTTAAGTAAATACTAAAGCATTATCTCTCTTTGTAATTTATGTCGTTTGAAATTGTAGCTTTATTTTTGCGAGAATAATTTTCTTTAACATTACATTTAATATTAAAGCATTATCTTAACTATCTACTTGAAATTCGATACCATATTCACTAGGTCTATAAAAGTACGAAACGCAAGTACGGAAAGTAAAACTCTTGAAATAAACTGATAATCTCATTTAAAGAGACCAGTATTGCAGGAATAGTATGCAAAATGTTAATGAAAATATATGTTGTGAACGGCAGTAATTTCGATATATGGTAATTACGAACAATGATCGCTGATTGATTACAATTATATTTTTAGGTGGGTAGAACAATCTGGTTGGTCAAGAATCTGTCGTGTCTTTAGTGTGGAATAAATTTCGAATAGTTCTTTGCTTGTAAATTAAACTCTGATTATGTCACTCTGAATAATGACTGAACAAAACGTCAACCAACAAAATATTTTGTTTAAAATACCAACTGAAATCACCAGGCAAAAAAGACACATATCACTTTTTACAAAATATACACACAGGGCAATATACATTTCGTCTCACTCAGGATTCCGTGCAGTTGTTGGTCACGTAAATTTTTACCTCTGAAAATTAAATAAATGTGAAGCTAGAGTGAAATTTAATTACTATTTAACCTCGCAATGTTCAAATTGCAAACAAATAAATTCAAGATATGTTAAATTTGACAAAAAATAACTAGGGCTTTGAAATTAATTTTGAATTTCCTTTTATCAGGAGCGTGAAATACTGAGTGCTCTATCAACAAATTTGAGGCAGGAATGTCTTCTGCATAGTTGTCGGCGCCTTCTATTAAATGTCAGTTTTTTCAATAACTTACCTGCATCACTTCTTTTACGTATCATGGTCTGCTTACACGCTGAAATATATCTTGTGAACGACGTGATAATAAGCGCTGGTACGTTAGAAGATTCTATGTATTTCATCACATCTGGAACAGTCGCAGTTTACGGGGCGACTGGAAAAGAGGTACGTTTTGCATCGTGTTATGTTATTCGACTACTAAATGCATATGGCTTTAGATCTACGAATAAAATGAAAGAAAAGTCCTAAAAACAAAATGATCTTTACAGCCACATTCACCAGTATGCATTCTCATATTCTCACATTTGGTGTTTATTCTCATGTCAAATGCTAGGAGAAGTGAATTATTTCCGAAAATGTGTGAACATTCTCAAGAGAAACGATAAAAAGTGTCGAGTACTTTCTTGAGTTTTTTTCTTTATAAAAATTAACCCTGTTTTAAAAGAAAGCTAGTCAGGATATTAAAAAGTGTTTACTCAAAACATAAAATGCATTAAATATAAAATGCAGAAATATTGACAGACATACCAATAGGTATTAAAATAATTTATCGGTTTCGATATCAGCCTCAAACAAACTTGCTCAATAGTAGAATGTTGTACCATATATCGACAAGTATAAACATTAATTTTCGTAACACGGTACTGTTATACCGCCTTAACGTAACCATAGAATTGAAAAATCACTATTAAAGACACCGTCAGCCGTTAACAGAGAGCCGTTCGTTAAGAACAAACAAAAAATTAGATTGCTTCCTAAGATAGCGTATGTGAGCAGTTGTTAAAAGTTGCATTTACTTGTTATGCTTTTTCGTATAAGAAGGTTGTATAACGAAAGTAATAATCGACTCTCGATTGATAACACAAATAGGTGACAGTTATTTGCTGTTTGTTGGCCTAATGATATTATTAAATATTTGCAAACGCTTCCTATGGGATAATTATATTACTTGTCCGGGTCAGTTATGTAGATGTATTTATTAGAAGCGCAATTGGATATGATCCGAAGACAGTTAATTACAATGAACTAGTAGTGCTACAAAATGTAACACACTTTCTCGTACTAGAGTTAATTTTCTAATTTCTTTAGTGTGGGCTAACTTTTCGAACTAGCCACGTACTCTGGGCAGCTGCCATGTATATCCCTTCAAAATACATTTTTTTTTAATTTTCTCAAATGTTTGGTTTCCTAATACTAGAACCGAAATATTACATTAAGAATATTATAGAAAAGTAAAACCTCGTTCTATAAGGAAATTTTTGAGCAATTTTTGAGAATAATGCAATTTAAAACGCTACTGTAAATGTAGTAATTTTAAGCCTCTTTTTTACAGCAAATCTTTGAAATTCCGAACACCTTTATTGAAAGTCGTTTTAAAAAGCAACTTCAACCAAAAAGCAATTATAGTTATACTAATAGCAGGAAGTGTCGAATTTAAAAGCTTGAGAGATCTTATGCATTGCTTTGTAAATGAAAAAAAATCAGAAAAATCGAATTTTATGTCATCTTAAACAGTAACAATTTGCCTATCTCCTTTTAAATCAAAGTCACCTAACACGTTGGAAAATAATTTTTGAGAGGTTTTGAGCCAAAATGGGCATTATGAGAGGTTCTGGAAAATGCGAGAATTTTGATATCGATTTTCACAGGAAACGTTGATTTAAGATATACTTCAAATTCTTGTTTTGTAATTTTTTTAAAATTCACATAATTGCCCGAAACTACTAAACATTTCAAAAAGAGTTACATGGCTTAATGAAATAAACTCACTCATGAAGACAAATTAATAATGAAAGGAAAAAATATCTATCATCCAATTATTTTGTTGTAGAAGATGCCGAAAAATATTCAAAACTTCGCATGTTTCGAAAATATCAAAATTGCCCTTGGACAAATACGATAATCCACCTTTATAAGTGGTATTTACTCTATTTCTTACTAGACATTTACTAGAACAATTTGGAATCGTTTTGAGAAAAGTCTTTTTTTGGTTATTTATTAAATATGGTTATATTTGTTATTAAAATCGCCCGAAAAATAACTCACAATTCTACTAACAAAAACCTATAATATTGAAGAAAATTAATTACGGAGAACAAATTTCATCCTTGGAAGCAATATATTTCTTCCGTTTTCTTTCATAAATTTAAAGATAAACAAGAGAAAAACTGATCTAGCATCGTCGTGTAATTCTGCTCTATCCTTACACAACTTTTAAGTTCAATCGTTGTTCTTCTCTATTCTTAAATAAATACTTAAAGGAAAAAATCATGGAGCCACTTCTGAGGAAATTTCTTGAAAAATTCCTAAGGTCAGAATACCCCCAAATTTAATATATTTTTTCAAAAATCGCAGAGCTTTCACTCAGGCCAGCAGAGTAAAAATCCATTTGTAAAAATCCTACGCCTGCTTGTTTGCTAGTTTTCTTCGTACCACCAGACGGGACGAGATATTTGCCGTCATCTATATTTCGGTCAAAGGCCGACATAAACATAGATTTGGCTACACCGTCCTCTGGAGAACAAAAAACAAAACAATCAGCAGCATTTCTCGAGGGACGGCTTTGACGCGCTATAGTTCATTCATCAGTTAGTAACGCCCCTTTTACTACCGCGTGACGAAAGATCAGGAGCCTCCATCTCCCCAGCTCCCGCGCCGAATATCACGACAACTCGTGCGTGTGATTTGAAGAGCGTAGCTCTGTCGGCGCGGAGTCAGTACTTACTGTGGCATCCTCGGAAACGCTGCGTACGGTTCACAGGCGACAAGCGTTTAACAGGCGCCTATTGCCGACCTTCCCATCAGCGCGTAACGCTATTGCACTTAAGTAATGTTACTTGCTGTCTCTCCGCGGCCGAGCTCAGCTAAGTGTACGGCTTGCTCCGAAGAATGTCACGCGATCCAGGCAAACAGGCCCAACTTTTCGGTGCCAATCAGACCTTCGTCGGCGTAGAGCTATTTTTGCACTTAAGTACAGTATATTATAGCTGGCTTTCGCGGCCGGAGTCAGTACTTAAGTGGCTCTCCGAGAGTCGCCGCGTCCAGGTCACAGGCACCAACGTTTCAGTTGCCATTCAGCGACCTTCATCGGGGCGTAGCTATTGCCACTTAAGAACAGTATATTGTAGCTGGCTTCCGCGGCCGGAGTCAGTACTTACGTGGCTCTCCGAGAGTCGCCGCGTCCAGGCCACAGGCGCCAACGTTTCGGTCGTCATTCAGCGACCTCAATCGGGGCGTAGCTATTATCCCTTAAGTACAGTACGTTGTAGCTGGTTGGGCGCCGCAGCAGATGTGCCACCTGGAGGACGGCGCGCACTTCGGGGAGATCGCTGTCGTGGCCATCGAGTGCTGCGAGCTGTACCGCCTGGAGCGCGCCGACTTCGCGCGCGCCATCGCGCCCTACCCGGACCTGCTGGCGCGCGTGCAGCGCGTCGCCGAGGAGCGCCTGGAGCGCCTCGCCAGGGTGCGTTGGTCGGCGCTTTCTCGCCTATGGGTCATTGGCGTTTCCCGGCGCGGAAAGGCGAAATCGTTTCCCGAAAACAGTTCCATCGCGCCGGCGACGGTGCTGCGGTTACTCCCATGTTCGCGGGTTCAATCACGATGAAAGCTAGATGGATCTTTAGGGCGAAAAAATCCTTCGTTCGCTTTCCTTTAGAGGGGAAGTAAAGCCGGCTGTCCTATGTTAGTAGATTTACTGCATGTAAAAGATCCTAAAACCTAAATAGAGCCTATGAGTTAAATTAAAATTATTGTTTTTGTCACCCAAGAAATACCTCCTTTCTCTGCTAGTTGGTGAAAGGAGCCTAGCGAAATTTGCGTGGTCATATGTAAGGGCATGCCCCACGCCACGTAAAATAAGGCATCAATTCAATTCAATTTAAAAGATAATTAAACTAATAATTGTCAAAAACAATATTTCTGTAGTCACGTGGTAAAAAATTCTTAAGTCAAAAATTTTAGTTTGGAGAAAAAAAGGGTTAGAGTATTGAGTCCTCCTATATCTTTATTTTCCTTAGAAAATCAATTATTTTCGATTGTTTGCTTCGTTTACTTTCTATTTGTAAATTTTCTAAATCCTTCTCGACAGTTCTTGCTCTCTCCGTAATTGATTCTGCATTGTTTTCTGTCTCTAAGTATCGAAATGCAGTCTTGAAATCTTTAAATGCTTCTTGCACTGTTGGGTCACCGTCACACTGCCCGAAGACCCTTCAACTCGCCTAATAACGTACAAAATCTAATTAATTTCCAGGCCGTTTCCTACGCTCACTGAAGCCGAGGTTCAGTTCTACTATAACTGAATCTTCTTAGGTTACTTCGTAATATCAGAGCAAATGGACCAGTGACTAAAGTTCACTTTAACCGAGGGTTCACTATATCTGAGTTCACTATAATCGGAGTCGACTGTAATTTTATTTCAATCCTTAGTGTTGGCCGGCACAAATGCGACAAAAAAAACTTGAACCGAAATATCGGGTGGCCCGCAATTGTGTGGGTACGACACACAAGTGCAGCGTTGCCGCGTGCATGTTGCAGGAGGAAGATTTCAGTAAGCGCACGCCGCTGGAAATGCATCAGGAACGACAGCGGCAAAAGCGACGCACGGAGCGCAAGACGAAGGAGAAGAAGGGGAGCTGGACGTCGTGACGCGATGAGGAAGCATCCGGTTGCACGAACTCGCAGTCAGCGCCTGCACCTCGTCTCCGCGCGTGCACCTGCTCCTCCTTCCGTCCCCGTTTCTGCTCCCTCTTCCGTCCCGGCGTCCGGTTATCGTCCCCATCGCCACTCTCGCTCCAGTGTCCGGTTGTGCTCCTGCTCTCGTCCTGGCTTTTGCCCCCGCTTCCGTTCCAGCTTTTTACTTCGGCTCTCGCACCCGTCCCCGTTTCTGCTCCTGCTCCCGTCCCGGCTTTTGGTCCGATTCCCGTCCCCGCCGCTCTCGCTCCCTTGTCTGGTTGTGCTCCTGTTCCCGTCCCGGCTTTTGCTCCGGCTCTCGCCGTCCACGTTTTTTCTCCCGCTTCCGTCCCCGCTGCCACTCCCGTTCCCGTGCCCGGTTATGTTTCTGTTCCCGATCCCGCCGTCGCCCTCGCCCCTACTCCAGTTTCGCCAACACCACCGTTTTTACGCCCACTCTTATCTACACTCCCCTCTGCTACTCTCCACCCCACTCCCCTCCCGCACCCTTATCCCAGCTCATCATTTTTCTCCTTCACCCGCCTCCAGAGCCGCTCCCTATCCTCGCTTCTCTACTCCATCCCCGCTCGTTTCTGCTCCCGTCCTCGACAGCACTTCCACTTCCTATACTCACTCCTACTTTCACTCCTAGCTCCTCATTACATCTCCTACTCCCACACCCACCTGCGCTGCCTGCCCTTCTCACTTCGGCTTGAGC